GCATATTTATGCTATTGTTTACTTTCTCCAGGTCTCGGTAATATGACGGACATGAGTTGAATGCACTTGATTCATGTTTGATTATTAATGTTTATATCTGTAATACTTACCTGCCACAATAAGCTGAACTCTACTTTCAATTGTTTCAAGAAAGCTTCCAATGAATTCACAATTAAATTTGGTATTGTCTCCAGGGTTGATGTTCTTGATAACTAGAGTAGCTCTTTCTTCAATTTTAACTCTTCCTTTGTAAGATGGAGGAATACTAGGATGTTCTTGGACACCATGACTGTCATTAACCAACATTTCGACAAATGCACCATTGACCAAAACACTATAGATGATGTATTGAATTTTATTATGTGGATCAGTGTAGTCCCACACCAGGTTGGCATCACTACCATTGTTAAAATAGCTTGGATTAGAAGGTTCCTGGGTGAAATGCACATCCACACCGCCTAAAATAGACAACCATAAACATAATATTCCTAGCCCTTTAATTACATGTGTAAGGATAATATTTAGGAAGAAGGGCTTAAATGGAGTCCACCACAGAGGCACTTTTACTGTAGGCTGACAGTAACAACAATTAACTAAAATATGCACTACACTGGTATTCTATGATATCAATCAGCTCAAAATAATTTTGCTTTCATTTGCTAAGAAATAAGGTTCAATAACAGTAATGTGTAACTATTTGTGGCTTTTGAAAATCATTTTTGACAAGTTCCACTTTCTTTAATTTTCAAAATCTGAACAGTGGTGAATTTCAAAAATTTAAAAGAGGTACACTTGAAAAAATTTTTTGAAGAAGAACTTGTGGTGGGAAATGGAAAGTGGAAATGTCCACACATATCATAGGTTAAACCATCAAATGAAGGATTTATAATTCACTCATTTCATTTTCTTGTCTTTTGGTTTCTAGTTTTTGAAAATCTGTATGGTCTCATCTGATCATCCTACCCATCACATAGGAAGAAAGATGAAAACAACAGAAAAGAAACTATTTAAGTGTTCTTGATCACCAGAATAAAATTCTTGTGGGCTTTAAAGTTCACTGCTAACAAATTCATTTTGATAAAAATTGGAAAAGAAATCAAAGTTCACACACATCACTTCGATCTAACTATTTATGCCCTGTTCTACAGTACACCACCAAGGCATATTTGGTGTGTTTCATTGCCTAATATGGTAATATAACATAATAGTGAATAACAATTAGCAAATATTTGCCAAAGGTAAAGTGAATATTATTCAATAATCTTCCCTCTGCCCTAATAATTGTTTTAATATAATTGCTCAGGTGCTTTCAAATTCAACCATAAATTATGTAAATAAAGAAAACATTGGACACATTTTGTTACAATTGTACTGATTACCTATGTCAAGATGAGCAGGCAGTTTCAAGAGGTTTACTTTTTTAATAACAAAAACTTTATCCCAATCAGAGCATACTCATCTCTATAATCACCTGAAAAAGCAATTATACTAAAAAAATATTTATTGTTAAAGTCATCTCACAGGGTAAAACAACAACTACAACACAAACAACAATGCAATGATCATGCAGTCCTGTCACATGTGCATGATTTTCCAAAAACTTTGGCACATTAAGTTGGCATAACAATTACAATGTTATAGTTATCAAAACAAAAAAGAAATCAAACACAATTTTCTTTGTCTATAACCTTGGTCATATAAAGGATGTCAATGATGTTCAAAACTTGTACTGCGCCTCCTTTGGCTTTAAAATTCTACCATCAATAAGGTTTATATGAATTCTACATGCATTTTGATTGGTTCTTTCATGTAATTGCTTAAGAACGGCCATGCACCACAAGATGATGTGAAGTGCAGGTGAGAATCTTCCCACAAAGTTTTGCAAGAAAGGTTGATGAAATTACAAAGAGACAATTGACGAAATTCAGCAATTTTCATTTGCAGTACTTTTGCACGATACTGTATGATCTGTTAGAGGACAAACGCATACATTAGGTGACATCACCATTAACAATTTTTGCTTCTTCATTGAATAAAACAAATAGATTCCATGTTGCCATTGCTCTGTACAGTTATAAATCCCAGAGGACATCAAAATATGCTAAGAACATCAGTGACACACTCACCTGCATTTATCAAGTAAAACAATCATGCAATAGGGAACAGTGC